AAAGGAAGAAAATGTTTGAAACTGATTTTGGTAGCAATTGTAAAATGTTGCTTAATATGATTGGACTGTGGAATGGTATGATGTTCTCCAATAAAATGATAATACTGTCTCTAAAATGAACCAGGGACACATATAAATCATGGATTTATGAATGAATTTTGGGCTCATTTTTAATCCTAACCTTAATTTAAGAAAAATTAGTTCTATGACATGACCCTAATTGATGGTCACTGTCATGTAGAGATCACTGAAGATATGGGTGCTATTGTAAAGCGTGCTGTCGGCTAGCCTGGGTGTAAGTGATATAATGTTGTTGTTGTTTTTTCAGAATTCTGGCCACACTACAGCACAAGAAAGACTGGGATTTGTCCAGAAGGCTCAGAAAATTCACTGCCATCAAGTTGATGCCACTCTGTGAGTTTCTGAGATGGTAACTCTTCAAAGGTGTAGAAAAACCTACTCTTTCTCCTTAGGATGCTGATTTGAACTGCCGACCTTGTGGTTAGCAGTCCAAAACCTCACCACTGCACCATTTAAAAGATTCTTCAAAAGACTCAAAGAACTCTCCAAATGCTTTGCTCCATCAGGGAGGTTAGATCATTTCAGAATGCTGTTCTATAAGGCTGAGCTGTCCTCCTGAAGGCTGAATGTTAGCATCAGCTAGATAGGCAAGACTGTGTTGGGGGGCTGGGCACAAGGGTTTCTATCACTCCGCCTAGAGAAGTGGCAGCAGGTGCTTCCTTGAGGGCCTAGAATAGCAGCCCTTGCTCCCCAGGGAGGGAGACAGGAGGTCTCAGAGTCAGGGCTGAGACCACAGGAGGAAGGCATTCTAGAAGCAAGACTGGGGCTTGGGAGGACCAATTAAGGTCCTATGAAAGTAACTGTGAGGCTCCCAAAGTGCCCAAAGATCAAGAACCCGATCACAGAGATAAGGACTGGGCTAGATCTATCCAATCTTAGGTGTGCTCAGAGATCCCAATGCTGGGCATGATTGGCCTGCTAGGAAGCTGGCTGTTTCAGGACACATTGTTGGCTCCTTGCTGCCACTCACTCCCTTCTTACTCCTAGTGATCCTCTCCTTGCAGGTGCTCCTGAGCAAAACCTCCCCAATTCATTTGGTTCTTCTTCCTTCAAAGGAAGGAACCCTTCCTTCACAATCCAGTGTGATTTCTAATCTTCCACTTGCCTGTCCCTGGCTTCAAGATTTGGATACAGGCTTGGGACTCACCAACCACATGCAGAGAAGCCCCAGGGCACATAGATGGTTGTGAGGTTGATACCACCATTGGACCCCTTCTTCTGTGTCTCTCCCTAGCAGCATCTCAAAAGACTTCCGGGAGCCCCAACCAAGCACCTGAAATCTAGCCTTGATCCCAAACCCTGTAGGTATTAGAACTTCATAATTCTGCTCTCACCACCCAGTATAACTCACACACCACTTGCGCTCCTATAGGATCCGTCCCCATCCTTGCTCCATCTTGTGGGAAATCTCACCCCTCATGGGTTATTCCACAACCTTGTGGGACCCCCACCCTGTATGATGCCTCAACACCCTCTGGCATCTTGTGGGAATCCTGGCAATCCCTTCCATCCTCCCTCTCCCCTGTAGGATCCTCTACATGCTATCTTTCATCCTTCAGGATCCCTCACTACCCCTCCTCTATTTAGTAGGGCCCCTCACTCTATCAGGATTCGTCCCCTTTACTGTCCATCTTCCATCTGTGATCCATGCTCCACCCTGTAGGAAGAACCCTCAGATCCCATATTTCACATGTTTAAACTCTCGCCCTCACACCCCCACCATGCAGGAACCTATGTTTATTTTGACTCCCCATATTCCCTCCTATCAGACCCTCACCACAGACTCAACTCATCCTCTACACTACCGCTGAGGGTAACATCTAGAGTAAACCTCTCACCCCCATCTTCAGCAGTCCTCTGTCACATAAGGTAACGCTTCACTGGGTCCCAGATCAGAGAACCTGCTGCCTCCGGACTTTCCATGGCTGTAGAGTTCAGCACTCACACAAAGACATACCAAGACACTGCCCAACTGCCTCCTCCCTAGCAAGCTTTCTTGAGGTCATCTCCTCACCTAGGTACACCCTTGTAAGCCCCAGCAGAGACCATTGCTGCAGGCTTACTGCTCCTACCCACACCTGACCTCTGAGACCTGTCTGCATGTTCACACCCAAGGGCCAAACCCACAAGGACTGCTAGTCTATCCCCTCCATGACTACCTGGCTAAGGACACTGCTTTCTGTAGCCCGAGTCAGGAGCGGAGCAGCTTGAGCAAGTCTAGGACTGATAACCATTTGGGAGAGCGTCTTATCTTTTGTCTATGTGATAAACAGCTCTCTGGAGGAGGAGGTGGGGCACAGGCTCACTCCTTGTGAGGCATTCTGGTTGACAAGACACATGGAGTTATGCTGGAGCCCTGGAGCTGAAGGAGCCATGTGGAGACCCCTGCCAGCGCTGAATCTTCAAGACTTTTCACCCACTGGCCTGTGATCTTCCTTCATTCGGCACCATTGCATGTGTTTCATGAGTCTACAGAAGAATTTATGGACCAGTATTGACAGATGGGGTAATATCGGACTTACGGACTTGATCTGAACTGGGCTGGGATGTTTTCTCGATATTCTATTGCTCTTGTATATAAGGTTCCCTCATACACATATGAGTGTCTATGAATTTGTTTCTTTAGTCAACCCAGACTCACTCACACAGTCTATCTTGCAAGGTTCCCTGCTCCTGCTACTTCAGATGCCTGTCAGGAAGGATGTCTGTAAAAAAGACATCTCCCCCTGCCTGGGGGAGACACATGGTGGTCATCGCTGGATCCCTGACAGCCAGAAGCTCCTACTCAAGGTGACAACCAACAGTGAACCCATGACAATGGCATGTCAATGTACTCATAGAGAGAAGACGCTATCAGGGCTTGGAAGTGCCATGGTCCCTTAAAGGAATTCACTGCTGCTTGGGTCAGCAGTGCCCACCCCCTACCCCTTCCCCATCCATGGTCTCCACACCAACTGCAGAAAGAGCCTGGATGGCAAGAGGACAAAGACAGTGTAGGATCCCAGCCTCTAACTGCTCCATTGCCATCTTTCTTTTTTAATTAAAAGGTCATTTTATTGGTGACTCTTACAACTCCTATTACAATCCATATATCAATTGTATCAGGCATATTTGTACATATGTTGTCACCATTCTTTTCTAAACATTTACTTTCTATCTGAGCCCTTGGTATCAGCTCTTTTTTCCCTCCCCTGCCACCCTCATGACCCCTTGATAGATTGTAAATTATTATTTTCATATCTCCCTTCCCCCATGTTTTCTGTTGTTTTCCCCCCTGAAGGGCGTGTGTGTGGTTATGTGTCAATCATTGCAATTGGTTCCCCCTTCCTCCCCTCCTCTACCCACCTTCCCTCTTCCCTCCTGGTATCGCTATTCCTATTCCTTGTCCTGGATTCCATTTGTCATGAGCTCTTGTCCTGTGTACATGCTCCAGTCTAGTCCGAATTGAGAGGTAGCACTGGGGTCATGATAGTGGGGGGTGAGGAAGCCTCAAGGAACCAGAGACACATTGTGTGTTTCATCAGTGCTTTACTGCACCCTGGTTGACTCATCCCTTCCCTGTGACCCATCTGGGGTGGGGTTGGGGGGAAGTTTCCCTGCTGTTTCTAAAAGAGATTCTGTGTGCCCACAGCACAGGGACCTTCCTGAGATGGCATTATTGCACTGACCACAGGAAATCCAAAGTTGGAGGAGAGATGAGGTTTTGCACCCCACTCTCCTGACTGCCCTCCCCCCACATCCCCAGCAACAGCTGCATCCTCTTCCTTCCTTCCTTCCCTCCCCCACTCCCCCATTCCCACCCCCTACCTCATCCCACCACCAGCCCTGTAGCCGCAGCACCCCTCCCTCCAAAAAGCACCCCCAATCCCCACCCAGCTGCTCTCTGGGTTTTGGTTGGGGCAGTCACCATGGTGATAACTGGGACCACAGTGATTGAAGAGGCTACAAAAACCCCAGGTCACTGCCTGACTGCTCTGGCCTATGCCTGGACGCTGCCGGGGTTGGGGCCACCTGGTCACCATCTCCTCCGGGGACCCCTCACCCCTGTGCTGTAGTTCCTCTGGACTGGCTCCTTGGGTGTGCAGCCAGCAAGGTGGGAAAACTAGGATGAGGTGGACATGAGAGCTGGGCAGCCATCTCCACTGCTGTGGTCAGCTAAGGCTGGGAGGACCGGCGAGGAGCCCTGCAACATTCCCGGCCCAGTAACATGTCCTTCCCCATCAGCAGATCCCCAGACACAAGCTGGCGGCTAGGTGAGGGAAGCCTGGGGAACTGCAGGGAGGCATGAGGGCAGAGCAGGATGGTTGATGCGTGGCTGAGCTGGCCACAGGCATCACTGTGACTACGAGTACTTCGATGTCTGGGGCCTGGGAACCAAAATCACCGTCACTTCAGGTAATTAATTTCTGCTTGAGCTTCTCTTCTGCTCTGGGACTTTTTGACATGACCACTGTCTTGGGTGGACATGTGGGATCATGGGCTGCCGGTGATGGGCCCCCAAACCCTGTGTGATGCTTTTCTCTACTGCGGCCAGGGGGGCCTGGTCACTGTCTCTTCAGGTAAATCGGCTTTCTCTCCGCCTCCCTGACTAGTCCAGCCTTCTCTGTCCTGGTGCTGGACAAAGAAAGTTCTGGAGGACCTAGGTCTGTGTGGTGCCTTCTGGGGCTCTTGGGGATGTCTCTGAGGGAATGGGTTTGTGGTTCGGTTCTGCATTCTGCAAAGGACATTGCTTCAGGGACATGGGTTTCACGTTGCTGGGACCTATGGTAGACAGTCACCCTCCCACCCCCACTCCCACCCCGTGTTTTGGGGCATGGAAACCTAAAGCTTTCTGGTTTGGACCTGGTCATAGGGTAGCCAGACACAGTCATAGTTTTTGTACGACCCCTAATGGGCCAGATGGCGATGTGACTACTTTGATTACTGGGGCCAAGGAACCATGGTGACCGTCTCTTCAGGTGAGTCCTCATCATCTCTCTCTCCCACTCAAGAGGATGTAGCTGTGTTTTGAGCCTTATAATAAGAAGTTCCGGGGATAGTTTGGAGGTGTCATGCAGGACACCTTCAGGGACTCACGGTTATAGGGGCAGGGTGCTGAGGTTCCTACCACCTTCTCCTTCTGGACTCTGCAGTCAGGAGTTTCTCAGGGTCTCAGCCATTCTTGGCCCTCACAATACTTCATTTGAGATGGCCCCAAGTCTCCAAAGGCCATGGTCAGATGCCACTTCTTGTTTGGGGTCTCTACCCATTTGTTACATTGTGACAACTGGTTTAACCCATGGGGCCCTGGAATCTTGGTGACTGTCTCCTCAGGTGAGTCTTTGCCCCCTTCCCCACTCAGTGTGGAATTTTTAGGATTGGGGGGCACAGATCTTTCTCACAGAAAGAGGCCAAGGCATTTTGGCTACCAGGAAAGGGAGACGTGCCCTTCTCTCCTCCCGGGATGACTGGCCGGGTGTTTCCTGACCGATCGCTGCTTGTTTGGGGTTTCTGAGGGTTGAACACAACTCTGTGAAAAGGAGGCTTTTGTTCTGGCTGCAAATCCACAGCCCAGAGTCAGGTTGCTCTCTCAGCCCGAGGGTGTAGACAGCAGTGGCCGAGTCATTGTGGGACTCCATTTGGCACTGGCAGAGGGTCCTAGGACAGGGAAGGGGGTGTCAAATGGTGGTCAGCCTCCCTCCGGAGAGTCCAATGGGCACAGATCCCTCTGTGGAGAGTTTTTGTGGGATGGAGAAAGAGATCCCACCACTGTGATTACTACGGTTTAAACTTCTGGGGACAAGGAACCCCAGTCACCGTCTCATCAGGTAAGAATAGCCCTTTGGGGTCTTTGCTTTTTCACTTGTGTTTATGGGGTTTTCTGAGTACTGTGGGGTGACCAGGGGACATGTGCCTCAGTGACTAGCCAGGGGGAGGGAAAAGGGCTGTGGAACGGCTGGGGTTTGGAAGCCACCGTGGTTTCTCTGATGCCTTTTTACATTGTGATCGATGCTGGCCGTATCTGAAAATAAGCCTGTGCTCCTGAAAATGAGGGACACTGAGTCTGGGGTCTGAAGAGTTTGGGGAAGACATAAGGATGAGCCAAGGTAGCAGCTTTTTAAGACAAATAGGGGACTTTTCGTTGTGAAGTCACAGTGTTTGTGGAGAAATGTGAGGACAGCACAATGTCTATAGGACCACAGGGACAATTCACGTAGAGGGCTGAATGGTTTACTGTTTGTTTGTTTGGTTTAAAATTATGAGCTATGTTCTATGCTAGATTTGGACTTAAAGTCCTGTAAGGGCTAGAAAAACTATCATTCCAGTGAGTGAATTCTGCAAAATGGTGTAGTATTTCTCTTGATTGTCTTCCAAAATCTTCTAGGGACCATGTACCCAGTCTGTATGAATAAAACTTTCTTAGGGACCTTTATTTTCTGAGGACAATTTCTATAAGAAAATATTCATTTTTAGAGGTATGCCTACTAAATATTAAAAGAGAGAGTATCTCTGAAGGGACTCCTGGGGAAATGGTCAAGAAAAAGATTACTTAAAACTCGAAGACATTTCTCAAATAGGTTAAAAATGGCAAAATATTTTAAAATCTTTTTTAAAATATCGTTTCATTGGGGGCTGAAATCTCAATTGATAGGGCTACTTGTTCCAGCCAGGAAAAGCAAAAGGTGATAGTGTCATTACTCCTGTATCAAACTCAATTTTAATGCTATCAACCTTTTAAAAGATTAATTGCACATGATGCCAAGAGGACAGTTTTGAGTTGGAGTTAAGATGGCTTCCGAGTGAGGCTGGGACACCTGCAGCAGGTGGCCAGAAACAGGTCCCCCAGGCAGTCTATTTTAGGAAGCAAGAACATATATTTGTTAAATTTTTAGTTCTCAGTTCTGAAGAAGTGGTTTTCCCCGTGGTGGGTAGAGTTCCACTATGACAAACAACACCTGGGCAATTTGCATTTCTAAAATAAGACTCAGAGGTTGATGGAGTGAAGAAGCTAGAGATTTCCTTTTTTAACTTGCTTGAATTTAATTTTTCAGTCTTGACTTCCCAGCTTCTCAACTGTACTCATTCTCAGAGTAAGAAATTACGTAACCAACCATGAATGACTGATGAGTTAATCCATATGACTTTTTAATTCATGACTCTTGCTATTCTTTCAAATGATAATTAATCTCGAGCCATTTGCCAGGATCTGAAAGCAATGGTTTTGCAATAATTGTGTTCCCCTTTTAAGAATTTTGATTTAGCCAATATCCTCTTGGAAATTAAAAATACCTTGATAGTTTTATAAGAGTACCTTCATTCCAGAATTTTAATAAAAATATAAAGATAGATAGCAAGTTTACCAATTCACCTTTTTTTTTTCCCATGTAAACTTCAGGGAGACTGAATATGTTGTACAACCATCTGCAATCCACCTCAATAGTCTTGAAGATAACTCTCCAAGAGTTAATTTCAACAATGCCTTCTTGAATTCAAGATATATATATATACATAATATATGTACCTAATACATACATGAGATATGTCTTGAATAATATTTATATAATAATATTATTGTATATCAATATATAATAAGTTATATACTACATAATAGGCATATAGTACATATGTAGATGCATACATATAACTTTAGGGTGGATTTTAGATGCAGTGCGTACATCTGTGCTGATTTTTTCAGTTACTGTGTTGGAAAAAAGTGAGTCAAGTAGCACAGCAGAAAGGGACTTTTGAACAGAAGACTCAGCACAGAAGTGTAGGTTCTCAGTTTGATCATTGGCCTGGCTCCTTAGTCAAAAGAACATCACCAATGAGATCATGTGAACCGGTACCCTAGTCCTGGCCCTTGGGGTGCAGTCCCTCAGGATTGCCCAGGGCTGGCAAAATGAGCTCATGGCTTTTGCCACCAAAGAACAAACCAGCAATTCATGAACTAGCAGTTTTTAAATGGATTTGGTGGGATGACTCCCTGCCCCAGAGTCTCCGAGAATGTCAAGAGACCAGGCGGCAGAGAAGGTAAGAGAAAAGCAGCCATCGCTGCCACACGGGCTGCTCCTCAGTTCATGTTGATGCTTTATGTTCATATAACAGAAAATCCACCTTTATCTCATTGCTCAGGGGACAAGGGGACTCCGTGTGACTCCATGTCTGACCAGGGTCTGGTCCGCACTTTGCTAACTTCTCCTAAAGCAGTGCTTCTCAACCTTCCTAATGCCGCGACCCTTTAATACAGTTTCTCATGTTGTGGTGACCCCCCCCCCACAACCATAAAATTATTTTTGTTGCTACTTCATAACTATCATTTTGGTACTGTCATGAATTGGGTGACCTCTGTGAAAGGGTCGTTCGACCCCCAAAGGCGTCGCGACCCACAGGTTGAGAACCACTGTCCTAAAGGGTAGTCAGTGGAAAAGTTGGCTGGAGCTGATCTATTGCTTGTGTTGATCATGATGTTTTCAAAATGAAGCACCACTTAAATGGTCTTTATATCTTACAAAAGGATCACTCTTATGTATTCTGAAGTAGTATATGCCTTCTAAAAAACTTTAAGTTGAGAAGCATCTTTTTAAATGGCAAATTCTGTTAAAATTCATCCACTGGTAGCTTTTAATGATGATTTAATATTTTAGCTAGAAATAATCTCATAATAGCCAAGATTTTTGTTGGGTTTTGTTTGTTTGTTTTAGACTCAGAAGGAAGGGGTTTGAGCTAAGGGGTGGGAGAGGCCCTGGGGGGTGAAGGAAAGAGTTCCCTGAGCCTGGATTCTGCTGCTGTCTCTACTTGCCAAAGAGGGGCTTTTTTTTTCCACGGAAGGAATTCTGTCCTTCCATTCTTGTATGCCTTAAAAATATTAACATAAATTTCCAAGAAACAGTTATTGTGACTGAAGGGTGATAGTGCTTTGGAACCCAGGCTGGTTGAACTGAGGCAAGATGTGATTCTCAAGTGGAGATGCCCAGGAGGTGAGGAGAAGCAAGAAGAGGTGCTAGGGAATAACTGACTCTGGGTTGAGCTGGGGTGCCCAGGAAGTGAGCTGGACTAGCTAGGATGAGCTGAGCTGGGCTGAGCTGAACTAAGCTGGACTAGCTAGGATGAGCTGGGTGAGCTGAGCTGGGCTGGCCTGCGCTGCACTGAGCTGAGCTGGGCTGAGCTGGGCTAGGCAGGGCTGAGCTGAATTGAACTGAGCTGACCTAGCTAGGAGGAGCTGGGCTAGCTGAGCTGGGCTGGGCTGGGCTGAGCTGGACTAGCTAGGATGAGCTGGGCTTTCCTGGGCTGAACTGAGCTGGACTAGCTAGGATGAGCAGGGCTAGCTGAGCTGGACTGTCCTGGGCTTCACTGAGTTGAGCTAAGCTGGGCTGAGCTGGACTAGCTAGGATGAGCTGGACTAGCTGTGCTGGGCTGGCCTGGGCTGAGCTGAATTGAACTGAGCTGACCTAGCTAGGATGTGTTGGGCTAGCTGAGCTGGGCTGGCCTGAGCTGAGCTACGCTGGACTAGCTGGGATGAGCTGGACTAGCTAAGCTGAGCTGGGCTGGGCTGAGCTGGACTAGCTAGGATGAGCAGGGCTAGCTGTGCTGGGCTGGCCTGGGCTTCACTGAGCTGAGCTAAGCTGGGCTGAGCTGGACTAGCTAGGATGAGCTGGACTAGCTGTGCTGGGCTGGCCTGGGCTGAGCTGAATTGAACAGAGCTGACCTAGCTAGGATGAGCTGGGCTAGCTGAGCTGGGCTGGGCTGAGCTGGACTAGCTAGGATGAGCTGGGCTTTCCTGGGCTGAACTGAGCTGGACTAGCTGGGCTTGGCTGAACTGGGCTAGCTGAGCTGGGCTACACTGAGCTAAGCTGGACTGAACTGGACTAGCTAGGATGAGCTGGGCTAGCTGAGCTGGGCTGGCCTGGGCTGAGCTGAGCTCAGCTGAGCTGGACTAGCTGATCTGTGCTGGGCTGTGCTGGGCTGTGCTGAGCTGAGCTGAGCTGAGCTGGGCTGGGCTGAGCTGAGTTGGACTAGCTAGAATGGGCTGGGTTTTCTTGGGCTGAACTGAGCTGGAGTAGCTAGGATGAACTGGGCCAGCTGAGCTGGGCTGTCCTGGGCTGCACTGAGCTGAGCTAAGCTGTGCTGAGCTGGACTAGCTAGGATGAGCTGGGCTAGCTTTGCTGGGCTGAGCTGCGCTGGGCTGGGCTGAGCTGGGCTAGGCAGGGCTAAGCTGAATTGAACCTAGCCAACCTAGCTAGGATGAGCTGGGTCCTGGGCTGCGCTGAGCTGGACTAGCTAGGATAAGCTGGGTGATCTCAGCTGGGCTGAACAGAGATAGAGTAGCTAGGATGAGCTGGGCTGGCCTGGGCTGAGCTGAACTAGCTGAGCTGAGTTGGGCTGAGCCTCAGTAGCTAGGATGAGCTGGGTTGAGTTGGACTGGGCTGGAATGAGCTGGACTAGCTAGGATGAGCTGGGCTAGCTGCATGGAGGTAGGCTGAACTGACCTGAGTAGAGCTGGCCTAGCTGTGCTGAGCTGAACACAGCTGGATTGAGCTGAATAGAGCTGCGCTCACTGGGATGAGTTAGGCTAAGCTGAGCTGAGCTGAATCAGGTTGGCCTAACGGGACTCAGCTGGGCTAGCTGAGCTGGGCTGAGGTAGGATCGCTAAAATGAGTTGAGGTGACTGTGCTGAGCCAAGCTATGCTAAATGGGATGAACTAGGCTAGCTAGGATTTGTGGAGCTAGGTGAGCTGTGATGAGCTAAATGAAGCTGGGCTGGGCTGAATGGACCCGGACTCAGCTAGCTGGGTTGAGCTGAAACAAGCAGGGCTGGGCTATGCTGAATCATGGTGGAGTAACCGGGGTGGACTGGGACAGTTGGGTTGGACTTGGCTGGGCTGGGCTGAACTGAGCTGGGCTAGCTGGGATGATTTGAATCAAGCTGGGCTAATTGGGATGAGCTGGATTAGCTGGGCTGGACCCAGATGAGCCGAGCTGAACAGACCTGGGCTGTGTTGAACCAAGCTGAGCCTTTCTGAGCAAAAGTAGGCTGGCTGGGTTTGAGTTGGCTGGGCTGGACTGGGTTGACCTCAGCTTTGCTAAACTGGGCTAAACCAAGCTCTGCTAAGCTATTCTGAGCTGGGTTGATCTAGTTAGGATGATTTGTACTGAGCCAGAATTGCCTGAGCTAAGCTGAGTGAGGCAGACAAAGCTCGACTAGCCGTATAAAACTGGGTTGGGCAGACCTGGGTTTGGTTGGACCAAGCTTGGCTGCGATGGGTTGAGCTCATCTGGGATAAGCTGGTCTGAGCTAGGCTTAGCTGGCTATACGAAACAGCAGAACCATGCAGGGCTGAGTTGAGGTAGCTGCACTGAGCTGTGCTAATCTAAGTTGGGCTGGGCTAGCTAGAGTGGACTGAGCTTGAGTGGGATGAGCTATACTGATCTGGACTTGGCAGGACCAAGCTGGCCTGAGCAGGGCTAGGATAGTGTCCTGAGCTGGGCGAGCAGCACTGAACTGGGCAGAAATGGACTCAGGTGGCCTAGGCTGAGATGAATTGAGCTAAGCATAAAGGGGTGCTGGGATAGGTTGAACTAGCCAGATCTGAGCTGAGCTGGGTTGGGTTGGGCTCTATGAAACTGAGCTGGCTGAAGCTGGGTTGAACCAAGCTTAACTGAGCTGAGTTGAATGGAGTCAGGTTGGATGATGCAGAGTTGAACTGAGCTAAACCAAGTTGAACCACCTGAGCCCAGTTGGGCTGGCTATGACTAGGCTGGGCTGGACTGAGGTTGTCTGTGGTTGGCAAGCTGAATTGAGGTAACTTAAGTGAGCTGAGCTGGGTCCAACCAAGCTTTACTGGGCTGAACAGAGCTGGTAAAAGGAGCCAGTTGAGGTGCTTTGGAGTTCCACTGAACAAATCTAGGCCACATGGGCCCAGTGTGAACAGATCTGGTTGTGCTGCACTATCCTGGATAACACTACTATGCTGACGTGTCTGGGGCTCATGGGATCCCTACAAACTGGGAAGTGCCTGCACAAAGAGGATCCAGGTGGGCTTGATCTCGACTGAGTTGACATGGCTCTGCTCTTTGCTAGCTGCTGCTTGTGGTCTGGTCTAGCACTGTTGCTAAATGTCTGAGAGGGGAAACTGAGAGGCATGCCTGGGGCCCAATTTCTGAGGTGAGGGGCATGCCTTCTCTTCTGGCCTGGTGCCAGGGCAGCACTCCCAGGCAAGGACTAGTGGTGGAGACTGGCAAAACTGTCCATGCCATTCTGCCCCAACAGACAGCGCCACCTCCTTCTCACACATCCTGAGCAAGGTTCCTCAGGATAGACAAGTACACAGGCCCTCCGGTTGGCCACAGCTGGCCAGGACAGGGAAGCACAGAGATCAACTTGGGGGATAGAAAAGGATTGGGTTCACTTGCATTTAAAAAAAAAAGTCTCACCTTTCCCCCATCTCTCTTTTGTCCCCTCTGGGGTCTTTAGCAACCCCCTCGGCTCCAAACCTCTTCCCACTTGTCTCCTGTGGAAGCATCCTGCCCGAGCAAAACACGGTGGCCATGGGCTGCCTTGCACGTGACTTCCTGCCAAGCTCCGTCACCTTCAGCTGGAGATACAAGAACAACACTGATGTCAACGCCCAGAAATGGAAGGCCTTCCCATCCGTCATGCAGGAGGGCACATATTTGGCCAGTTCTCAGTTGCTTCTCCCTTCTGAAGATATCCTCCAGAGCTCTGATGAGTACCTGGTGTGTGCAGCCACGCATCCCCAAGGCAACAAGGAAGTACAGGTGGCCTATCACGGTAAGACGGAGCAGGCTCCCATTTCTCTGTGGGCAGGACAGGGCCATGGCTTCCCCAGCTGGATATCCCTTAACCTCTCTCTGTCTTCACCACAGCGCCTGTGGAAGAGAAGTCCCCCAATGTGAATGTGTATGTCCCATCCCGAGAGTCCTTCTCAGACACCAGCAAGCGGACCTCCAAGCTCATCTGCCAGGCCACAGGCTTCAGTCCCAAGGAGATCTCACTGTCCTGGATCCGAGAGGGGAAGCCAGTGCAGTCTGGCATCAACACAGGAGCAGTGGAGCCGGAGCCCAAAGGGTCTGGGTCATTGACCTACCAGATCACCAGCACAATGACCATCAGCGAGAGCGACTGGCTCAGCCAGCGTGTGTTCACTTGCCACGTGATACACAGGGGGCTGGACTTTATGAAGAATGTGTCCTCTGTGTGCGGACCCAGTGAGTGCACTAACCCTCAGGAGGGGTGTGTGTGGGGAAGGTTTGGAAGTTCAGATCATGCCTGGACCCCAGAATAGCCTCTACTATTATTTGTGTATCAGGATCTCCAGCACACACACACACACACACACACACACACACACACACACATGCACGTGCACATGTCACGCACATGTACAAACACACCACATACACCAAACAGATAGATACACATACCCCAAAGACATACACACAGATATGCAAGCACCAGACAGACACACAGACACACAGACTTTACTATCTCCTCTGCACTGGTCAAGAACAACCCTCCTTGGCAGTGAGGAGGGGGCTCTGGTCACTGTGAGTTTCCCTGTGTCCCTACTCCCACAGGACCCCTATTAAGCATAGTCCACTATTAAGTGCTGGGGAAACGATACCTCCCCAACCTTCTGCCCTACTACATGCTGACCCTAGTCCCTTCTTCAAGCAGGCTCACCATCAACCATGCGGATCTTTACCATCCCCCCTTCCTTTGAGGACATCTTCATTACCAAGTCTGCCAAGTTGACTTGCCTGGTCACAGACCTGGCCACCTACGACAGCCTGAGCATCACTTGGACGCGCCAGAATGGCAAGGTTCTGAAGACCCACACCAACATTTCTGAGAGCTATCCCAATGCCACCTTCAGTGCTCAGGGCGAGACCAACGTCTACGTGGATGACTGGGAGACCGGAGAGAAGTTCACTTGCACCGTCACCCACACCGACCTCCCCTCACCGCTGAAAAAGTCCATTTTCAAGCCTGAGAGTGAGGCCCCTTCCTGTGTGGGATGACAATGTTTGGGGTGGGATAGGTCTCACGGGCCCTTTGGGTCTTGGTTTCCCTGCTCCACTCACTGTCACCTTTTCACCCACAGACGGGGTCAAGCGGGCACCATCTGTCTACCTGACCACACCGACCCGGGAGGAGCTGAGCTTGCGTGAATCTGCCTCCCTCACCTGTCTGGTCAAGGGCTTCTCCCCTGCAGATGCGTTTGTGAGGTGGATGCACAAGGGACAGCCTGTGCCCCGCCATCAGTACATCACCAGTGCCCCAATCCTGGAACCCCAGGCCGTGGACTCCTACTTCCTCTCCAGCATCCTCACAGTGTCTGAGGAGGACTGGAGCGCTGGCGATGTATTCACCTGCGTCGTCGGCCACGAGGCCCTGCCTCACCTGGTGACCGAGAGGAGCGTGGACAAGTCCACCGGTAAACCCTCCCTGTACAACGTGTCCCTGGTGATGTCCGACACAGCCAGCACCTGCTACTGACCACCGGGCTCCCCGCCTCAGCTTGGCCCCGCATGATGACCTTCCGCTTGTGTGTGTGTGCGTGCGCACATGTGTGCATTCCAATTTACCGTGTCCATGTGGCAAAATGTATGTCACAAAAACTAGAAATAAAAATATCAGTTCCAAAGACGTGGATCCTGTGTGAGCACTGCTCACCTGCCTGTGCTGCCCCCGTCCAGCCTTCACCTCCATGCATGATGCCTGCTGGCCTCACAGCCACTGCAGCACTGCCTTCTGGACACCCTCCCCTCCTGCAGCGGACTCCCTCCCCATGAGACCCCGTTCCCTGTTCCTCTGGCAACTTTCCAGGAAGCTAGCCGGCACGGAGCACCGGCAACACACAGAGAGACACACACAAACACAGGCACAAAGAGACAGGGACACGCATGCATAGACTCAAGGACACTGGCATGCCCACGGACAGGCAAAACGGACACAGAAATATTGAGGCACCTTTGTACATACATGGGCATGAACAGACATATGGGACACACAGAGACATGTGCGTGGATGCTGACACTCAGGCACACACAGATACGGACACGTATGGGTTCTGACCTCCTGACGCCTTGCTTACAGCTAGCTTGTTCTTCCACCTCAGCTTCAGGGGGTGAAGGGCGAGTCCCGCTAAGACTCTGGCCAATGCTCCAACCCCCAGTCCAGGGCACAGGAGTCCGAGGCTCTTCATCAGCAATGACCCTTTCGAGATTCATTCTGGCCCAGCTCCTCGGGGAGTCCCTGACCTCTGCTGCATGTCAAGGGGAAGGGAAGAGGTGGCCCTGGATAGGGATGGCTCTCTCAGTGAAGCAGTCCACCCTCCGGCACCCACAGTCTGTGATTACACCCCGGGAGCAGGGGGCCAGGACTTGAAACCCAAGGGCAAAGATTTTATAGAAGACTTCCAGCTTCCACTGAAGGAAGCTGCAGAGAGACCAGTGTTGAATGGCTCTAGGCAGCCTTCTCAGAGTGCTCGTGAGATCCTGAAACGCTGCAAGAGCAGAATGGATCCATGGGGCCAAAGGCATCTGGCTCTTTGGAGACTGGAACTCTATGTGTCCTCAGCCTGTCCCCAGGATGATTCTTGTGGGCCGGGACTATCCTAGCTATCTTTCCCCTTGGCCTCGGGTGAGGAATAACTAGCTGGATGTTCTCCCATTGCATAGGGGAGATGGACACGAGGACAGAGAGGATGCCTGAGGGGGTCCCAGAAGCCACCACTCTCCCCTGGCATCCCCACTCACCCACCCAACAGTGGCTGAGCAGAGCCCTTCCAAACCAGCCTCCCTGACTGTGCTTCCCAAAAGGGCCCAGGACATGTCAGGGGCCTCAACTGAGGCTCAGCCCCTGGTTTTATTGGCCCTCTTTGGCCTTTTAGAACCCTAGGATGGCTGCAGTCCATTTAATTTGACATGGTCAGCTGTTCACCCTGTACCCACCCACATCTACCCATCAGGTGCCAAGGTGATCACAGGTCAAGCCTGGCCAGAGACTTCCAGAGAGATCGGGAGGTGTTTGCCTCAAAAGACAGGCAGAGCACGTGCAGCAGGAGCTTGTGAAGCATGCTCCTTACACGCACACAGTCCCTCGCTAGTAGCACAAACCGCTCTCTGACCAGCACTCTGTCTATCCACTGTCCTCTTGCTTCTGCTTCCGCCACCCTATCATGGGTGCAACCCTGGGGGAGGCTGGGGGCTATGTGGTCCCAGTTCCCTTGTCACAGCTCCTAGCCATGAACCCTGAGCCTTTCAACCCTCTCTGCACTCCAGCCCCTCTCCCCCCGGGACAGGCTCTATTGGGACACTCACGCTGACTCCACCCTGGGCTCCACTCTGAGCTGACCATGCCCTGTGTCCTGTTGTCCTTGCAGTGGGGGAAGTGAATGCTGAGGAGGAGGGCTTCGAGAACCTTTGGGCCATGGCCTCCACCTTCATCGTCCTCTTCCTTCTGAGTCTCTTCTACAGCACCACGGTCACCCTGTTCAAGGTATCCCAGTGAAGGGCTAGCAGGATGGGGTCCTGGCAGAGGAGGTAAAGTTGGGTACCTTGGGAGAGTGAGCAGGAGTGAGCCCATGGATGCACAACCTGACTAGAAGCTTGGAGAGGCAGGGACACTGAGTGCCCAAGACCCTGGAGGGTCAAGATCACGTGGGGTGTGGGAGGAAGGTGTCACCAGGAAGGAGCAGGGGCCCAGCGGCAGCTGAGAGGAGACCTGGGCACATTTAGTGCCGGGATCAGACAGCTCGTTGGCCATAGGCGCCTGCCTCTTGCAACCTGCTGGGTTGTGTCCTTGACTGGGGTTCCAGTGATGGGGGAAGATCTCACACAGTCTTTGTTGTTCACAGGTGAAGTGACCATCAGGTGAAGGATGCTGGAGACATGACATGAGACCAGGCCACCACCACGTGCATTCCGTGGGCATTTGTACCGTGCCCCACCCCCCTTGGCTTTGATCTCTGAGAAACAGGCTTCTTTGTAGACGTGTGTGCTGAACCTAGGGCCACAGAGCTAGTCCCAAGTGCTGCTTTGTTGTGTATGCACTTGTGGCTGTGAAATAAATATGTACATATCCTCCTTAAACTGCCTTCCCGAGCTGTTTCGGTTTAGCCACCTGCCTTTCTTGTCACAAAGAGGAGATGTCAAGAGAGGGCATGTCCCAGTGCAAACTGTGGTGGCAGGTTTCCTGGGGTCGGGTCCACACACGGCCTAACCCAGGGGTCTAAAGCCTGTTTTAAGATGATGGAAGAAAAACGGCTGGGCTGGAGGGAACTCCAGGGCCAGTGTCTAAAATAAAATCAAAACAGAGGGTTGGGCTTCACCCTCTGTGGGATCTTTCTATGGGATGCTCTCCACAGTCTTCTGCTCACTGAATGGTTCCCCCTGTGTGGGCAGTTAGCACATCTTCTTCACTGTGTGGTCCTGCTTAATGGGTAGCCCTTGCCTGGTGCCCTCCCCTCACTCTGACCCTTATCATGCATGGTTGGTACTGGGTTGTCCCTTTTCTTTTCAAGGCAGCCCTCTCCCCGTGGTTCTCTCTGTCACTTGTTGTACGGCCCTCACCATGTGTTCATTCTTTTCTGGGGTTTCACAGTGTGGGCCACTCATGATGGGCCTTTACTTTGGGGGTCTCTGTCCCTGAGGCACTCTGTGTGCTCTTCGCTATGTGGCAACTCATCACGAGCCTTTACCTCGTAGTCCCTGTCTAGGCAGTCCTCACTGGTTCTCATACACCCTCAAGTGTGGACACACACACACACACACCACACGTACTCTTTTCTGTGACACTCACCCCATGGTCATCCTCCATACGACCCTCACTCTGTCGTCATGTTCCTCAGGATCTTCACTGCACTGCACTTTCCTCACAGACCCTCTCTGTGTGACCCTCATGGTTTAGTCACTGGCCATTGGCCCCCACTTCTATCACTCATCATCTGTAACTCACTGCATATTTTCACTCGTGGGTGGTCTCTGTGTGTCAGTAGCTATCTGGCCCTCACTCATGTGGCCATTCTTTGTGTGATTCTACCTGTATGTCACTCATTTCATGGCATGCTACTTACATGTGGCCTGTACCGTGTGTTTCTTGCTATTTAGTCCCACTGCAGGTCACTCACCGCATGGCCCCTAATGTGTTACTTGCTATAGAGTCACTTACCATATGGTCACTCCCCACATGGTGCTAGCTGGCTGGTCCCCACTTGTCCCATCTCAACTAGCCCTTGTAGCCTGTGGTGTGTGCCTAAACAAGGTGATGGGTATGGGTGTTTTGGTCTAGACAAGACCCTTTGTCAGTTGGGAACTCTACCCCACAGACATTGAAAAGAGTCAGGGTGAGAAGGTTAGGAAACAGTGAAGAAATACTTCATCATATTGGGGGTGGGAGGCAGATTAGCACATCCAAGAATGAATTGGGGGGATAAGAGAGTCAGGCATGATAAAATTGGGACCATCCTGTGGACAGCAGGGCAGCCTGGAAGCCATGGGGAAGGCTTGGCTAGGAGTGGCCTCTATGAGAACAGAGACAGGATTTAGTTGGGGTAGAACTCTAGAACCTCATGGGGTACAAAAGGAAGCATAGGGAGTGATACCTTGGTGATAGGAGGGAGGCCGTCAGGGCTCCTGTTGTGCCACTGGACCAGACAAGTTCATCCCCACCATGCCCTATCCCAGCAGTTCTCAACCTGTGGGCCACGACCCCTTTGGGGGTCAAATGACTCTTTCACAGGGGTTGGCTGATTCATAATAGTAGCAAAATGACAGTTATGAAGTAGCAACGAAAATAATTTTTTTTCCGAAAATAATTTTATGGAAAAAAAACACAAACAAAAATAGAAAATAATTTTATGGTTGGGGGATCACCACAACATGAAGAACTCTCTTAAAGGGTTGCAGCTTTAGGAAAGTTGAGAACCACTGCCCTACACTATGCAGGGCTCATCAATATAGGGAAGGACAAGAATTCCAATCCCTATGGCCCTCATGCCGCCTGGACAACGCTCACCTACCTACCGACCTCAAATTTCTCCAGGGCTGCCACATACAAAGTCCTGTGGGCAAGGGTCCCAGAATCTAAGAGAGGAGCAGGAATACCCAAGAATGGTAATGCAGGCAGAACCTAACAGTGGCCCGGGGATGGGACTGTCATTTTGTTAGGTGGTGGCCAGTGAGCAAGCCTAGGGAATTAAAATTTCATGGTCTTGCTTCAGGAACTATGAAAAAGGTGTGATGGTAGGACCAACCCATATTTTTAGAGAGCACTGGGTGAATTCTTTGTCTGACAATTCCCACATCTGGTTGGGTCATCTTTCTTTGGAATAGACACACACACACACACAAAAAGACTGAAATCTTCTGCAGTTAGTTGGTTAAGTAAGTGTATTCTGATGCTCTTGGCATGAAGAAGTGAGCACCTTCAGTACTGTGCCCATTTACTGAAATATTTCTTGTGGTGCTTTGCCTGTTACTAGAGATTTGATTTTTGTTTTTTTCTCATTTTGGGGGGGCTCTTACAGATCTCATCACAATCCATAAATACATACACTGTGTCAAGCACATTTATTCTTATGTTGCCATCATCATTTTCAAAACGTTTTCTTTCTATTGGAGCCCGTGATATCAGCTGCTCATTTCCTCCCTCCCCCACCAACCCTCCCATGAACCCTTGGTAATTTATATATATATTTTTTTCATGTCTTACACCAACTGCTGTCTCCCTTCACCCACTTTATAGCTGTACGTACCCCTGGGATGGTGTTATATGTAGATCATTGTGATCGGTTCTCCCTCTCTTTTAATTAATGCCTTCAGCACAGTTTGGGCTTCTTCCTTCAATATCATTGGTTATAGATCAAGTGTGACCTTGAGAAATGACCAAATGCCAGTCAATTGTTTTTCATACAGTTGTTGTTGTTGTTAGGTACCACCAAGGCAATACACACAACAGAAAGAAGCACTGTTGGTCCTGTGCCACCCTCACAATCATTGTCATGCCTCAGCTCATTGTTGCAGCCACCGTGTCAATCCATCTCCTTGAGGGCCTTCCTCTTTTTGCTGTCCCCCTACTTTACCTTCTCCAGGGACTGGTCTCTCTTGACAACATGCCAAAAGTATGTAAGAGGAAGTCTTGCCATCCTTGCCTCTAAAGATCACTCTGACCATGTTTCTTCCAAGACAGACCAGGCTGTCCTTGTAGGAGTCCATGGTACTTTCAAGGTTCTTCCTCAGCACATATCAGATGCATTAATTCTTCTTTGGCCTTCCTTATTAATTGTCCAAGTTTCATATGCATTTCAGGGAATGGAAAATGCCATGCCTTAGGTCAGGCACACCTTAGTCCTCAAAGGAAAATCCTGGTTTATCAATATTCTAATATCTTGGGCAGCAGATTTACCTAATGTCTTTTGACCTCATAACTGCTTCTTCTATGACCATTAATTATGGCACCAGGTAAGGCAAAATCTTTTTCTCCATTTATCAAGATGTTACCTAGTGGTCCAGTCATGAGGATCTGGGTCTTATTTAACTGAGCTATAATCTCTATTGAAGACTGTAATCCTTGATCTTCATCAGTAAGTACTTCAAGTCCTCCTCACTTTCAGAGGGCAAGGTTGTTTCATCTGCATATGGAAGAGTGTTAATAGCCTTCCTACAATTCTGATGCCACATTCTTTTTCATGTAATCCAGCTTCTCAATTGATTTGTTCAGCATACTTATTCAGATTGAGACCTAATTTGCCACATACTTATTCAGATTGAATAAGTATGCTGAGAGGATACTGCCCTGATGCACACTTTTCTTGATTTTAAACCATGCAGCATTCCCTTATTCTGTTCCCACAACTGCCTGTTGATCCATGTACAAGTTCTGCATGAGCACAATGAAGTGTACTGGAATTCCCATTCCTCTCAAGAGTATCCATAGTGTATTACAATCCACACAGTTGAATGCCTTTGCATTGTCAATAAAGCACAAGTAAGCAACTTTCTGGTATTCTCTACTTTGAGATACATCTGGCATAAAAATAATAGCCATTGTTGTACATCACATTGTGTTAGACAGGGTTCTCTAGACAAACAAAACCAGAACACTTATGATTATATATTTACATAATGAAATATGTAAACAGCTAAATAGTCCACAGAGCAGTATAGAGGGCTCAATTCAGTTCACTTCCATGAGATAGTTAATACACTGGGAGTCTTTAAACTTATGAGGGCTGTTGGGTACAAGTCAAGGAAGCAGACAGCTGAGTCTTCTAAATAGCAATATAGGCAGTCTGGCCACAGGCAGGAAACAGCAGGGCAGGTCACCAACAGTCAACCAGATGGTAGGGTCCAACAGTCCCCACCTCAAGTGATGTATACACCAGTAGTGTGGCAAATTAGGTCTCAAAGGAACCTCAAACTATAGCGACACATTCCACGGGTTGGGTGTCCCACAGGTGGTGTAGCTCGCAAATTGAGGCAGAGAACTAGCTATGGCAGCGGCACACTGGTCCCATCATCAGAGAGCAAGAGACAGACAGGCGAGGCTTGCTGAGCCATTTATCTCTTTGCTCATCAATTAAACTGCAACCTTATCAATCCCACATATGTCTATTGGCCAGGTTGGCACAATAAACCTACCTATCACACACATCCTCTTTTGAATCCAGCCTATACCTCTGGCAGCTTTCTGTCAACAAATTTCTGCAATCATTGTAGGATGATCTTCAGTATAATTTTACTTGCATGTGATATCAATGCTATTGTTCTATAATTTGAGCATTCTACTGGGCCACCTTTCTTTAGAATGGGAACAAATATGGATCTCTAACAGTCAGTTGGTCAAGCAGTTGTTTTCCAAATGTCCTGGCACAGATAAGTAGGTCCTTCCAGCACTACATCGGCTTGTTGAAACATTTTATTGGGTAGTTCATCAATTTCTGGAGCTTTGTTTTGGGCTAATACTTTCAAATCAGGTTGAACTTCTCGTTTCAGTATCATTCTTGCTCATATGCTGCCCCCTAAAATGGTGGAATGTCCAATATTTCTTCTTGGTATGGTGACACTGCCTATTCTTTCCATCATCTTTTGAT